TACACTGCGCGAAAGAAAAACGGAGACCATGCAAAAAGAATACGAAGCGGCGGTGTGTGGTCGTGCGGCACTAGACTCACTGCGGCGTTATTAAATTTTATTGTTTACTTGTTTATTACATAAGAAGGCTTAATATACAAAAAATTGGTCGAAGTTTATTTCGACTGAACTTCAATGGCTTCTCAAATACAAGTCCAACAAATTTCGCTTCTTTGAAAAATTATGAAATAATATTTTGCGAAATAATAACAAGCTTTAACTTCAAGTGTTTGTTTATACATCGGAAGAATGTCACGTAGAAATGTATTTAACTTGAATCAGTCTGTCGTCTGAAAACCGACTAATTATGCCACAGTCCAACATAATGTTCTGATTATTATTATTATTATAATTCTTGTGATAACGTGATAAATATCGATAATACACAGGGTGAGAGAAAAAAAACAATTACTTATATTCTGAGTATGTGGTAAAATGTTATTATACTGTGTTAATTTTTTTATGAACATTTGGCCGTTTAGGGAAAAAACTCAAACCGGATTCACACACCACAAGTATAGGAGTATATTATTGTACAACCTTTAAATCATTGTAAAATAGAATTCTTTGAAATGACGTCATCAAATTATTGGTGGGAATGATTAACAAATTTTTGGTTAGCGGTTTATCATCTACATGATAATCCTAATTTACACGACAGACGGAAACGGGAGAATACATTTTTCGTCCTCTAAGGGTCACTAAACGTCGAGAAAACATAAAAGTGGACATTCGTCCGATGGACTCAATTACTATACTTCCTTCGCTTACGTTCAGGAAGTAAAAAATACAGCATGCTTTTACTAGAATTAACTTTTGAGACTTACATTGTTCGAAAAAAAAAACTCTAGTTGTGTTTGTTTCTGTATCAGTGGACTTAACGTGATATGTAATACTGGACGCAAAGAACCCTCGAAATCCAATACCCAGCGTTGATTATACTCATCATTACTTCAAAAGCATCGATCTACATTTAAGTTGTCGTTCACAAATACCAACAGAAAGACAAACTAGTAAAAGGTATCAAAGCGTGAGGATTTACAAAAACCTGTATTTGGAAAACTTTGGTTCTCTTTATAAAGAAAATACGGAGTTATTGCGGATGTTGTTCTGGGATGGGGTGGATAAAATTATACATAGAATTTCCATTCACCGCACAGATTTTTAAATACTGTGAACTGCATAACCATTGAAAACTCTTGTTTTGTTGGCTTGTTTGGTGAGTTCATTATGCAATACGTGTTTGCATTTTGCATTTTATGTGTCACCAGAACAGTACTGTATTTTTAAATCTTCTGGAAAAATGGGTGAGCCATTCTGTACTGAATCATTAAAATCAACTGTTTCATTCGTATTTTTTTTCAGTTCTAAATAGGGTGTCACTCATAACAACCATACACATCGAAATATCAAAGAAAACAGTGGATTTTTAGCCGGCTGATCTCCTATCGAAAAGTAGATTTTGTATTGATACGAACGCATTTTTCCAAGAAACCATAAACTCAGAACAGCGATTGCCTCTGCTTGTTTGAAAACTTGCCTAAATTTTCGAATGCAAAAGAAATCTAATATTTGCTTTTTGTAATTAAAGAAAAAACGAGATTTTCTTAATAAAAAAAAGGTTCATTGTTATTTACATCCCCTAAATATAGTCTAACAAACTCAACTTTTTGAAAAGATCATAAAATTAAAATAATCCGTAATAATTTAGAGTAGATATATGTATGGACTGCCAAAGTGTATGTAAACCAGTTACAATGTAAGCAAAAAAAATGGATATATGAGAGATCAAGCTCCGTACCCTCCAAATGTAAAGCATAGTCGATGTTTCGTATGGTTGGTATTATGTAATTAAAGACTAGCATCATTACTAGTAATAGCAAATAATAAAAATTATAAAAATAGCAAAGATAATCAAGGCAAATTCATGAAGCACAAGTACAGGAGTGTGTTATTTTATCAAATTTATAAGGCAGAACTAAGCAACATTTTTAGATGACGTCAATGAATTGTTGGTTAGCGTTTTAGCATCTACACGATATTCCTAACATATATTTGGCAACGATCGTCACAGACGACGGACTTACTTTTTCGTACTCGAGGGCAGAGTTCGCCAGTTTAAATCATTGATTTGTTGTTCTTGTTTTTTATTTTCTTTACAAATAACCAAAAATATTGTTAAATGTAGTTTAAATCCAAAATAAATTCAACACTAACTAGAATGAAATATATCCAAAATGAGACTGTTTTTTATTTTTTTACTTCCCGAGGGTAAGCTTTTGTTTGCTCGACATTTATTAAAGAGTACGAAAAAATATATATCTCGTTTCTCTCTGTTTGTCTATCGTCTCTCGTCTGTATCGATTTTATTGGATGGACAATCTCCGAAATTATTGGACTGATTGTTATGAAGTTTTATTTGTCATCTAAAAATTGTGCGGAGAGAATGCTATTTATTTTTTATAGAATAACTCAATCTTATACTTGCGGTTTATGAATCCGCCTCGATTTATTTTACTTATATATACTTATAATAGGGGTTATAATGAAAAAAATTAAATTCGCAAAATAAAATATTATCATTTTTCGAAGAACCTTAATGTCTACTGCCCTAAACCAAAGACCAAGTACATACAACAAAACATTAGTTAAAAATATTCAAGTAAACTTTGTACATATAAATAACATTATTACTATTTAGTAATTTAATACCAAATAATCGATTTTTTGATTTTTTGTTTAAATCTGATTATTTTCCGATCCTGCTGTAGAATTCAGGAAAAGTCGAGAAAATATGAAAGTAGACGCCATTCGTCGAATTCTTTTCTATTAGCTCATGGAGTAAAAAATGTTGACGAGTATGGGATTCGAATCCACGCGAGTAGAGTTACGTCCTGACCAGTCGACCATTCAGCCACGACACTCGTATTCCGTGCATTAAGTTAAATATAAATCAAGACGGATTCATAAACCGCAAGTACAATAATATGTATTTTATAAAGTTTAAATAGTATTTACTGGGTGGGAATGACTAGCTAAATTTTAATTGGTGGTTTACCATCTATACAATTTGACAAGACTCGGTCCAGTAGTTTCGGAGCTTATTTGCCTGATATAAATCGACGACACAGACACCCGACAGAGAGATGGAAACGGGGAACCTACTTTTTCATACTATAGGGGTCATGAAACGTCGAAAAAACATTCACCGTATAGATCGGTATGTATAAAATCTGTGAACATTCTTGTTATGCAGAAATTCGAAAATAGGTCAATTTCAACAAACTGAGAATATAACTAAAAATATACAGATAATTTTTAACAGATTTTTAAAAAGTGATTAATAAAAAAAGAAAGCGTCAAAAACATGACTCCAAATTGGTCGAAAGTTATACAGAATGAACTTCCCTTGTACCTGAAGCACAATCAAACAAATCCAGTTTATAAGATAAAGTACAAAATTTGAATTTAATTTTTATGATGATTATGATATCCAATAAAATGTCACCACGAATGAGAGAGTTAAGGAGAAAAAGAGACCAGTTTTGATTAGTGCTTCACCATGTTTACAACCACAAATACAGAAGCATATTATTTTAAATAGAAATTGCCTAGCAAAATTTTGAGATAACGTCATCAAACTGTTTTGGTTATCGTTTTAAGACCTATACGATATTCCTAAAATGCTTCTATAAATTCACAACGATCAGTTCAGAGTAGTTTCGGAAGTTATTTGTCTAATAAAATTGCCAATGATATCGGCAGGCACACGGAAACGGGGACCTATTTTTAATATTTTTAAGAGCTATGAAACATCGAAAAACATGAAATCAGTCATATGCTCAATCGACTCTATTACAATACTTTCGTAAGTTATGCATAGGAAAAGAAATAGTAGATTATAGTTTTGCTCCCAAACGAAAGTACAAATATTTAATTAAAGATGATGGAAGGTATCGCTTATTCTAAGAGTTCTGCCAATACACATTTTACCAAGGTTTTTTTAACATCCGTTATATCTAATAATATAAAGGTGTCCAAGTTTTCAGAAGTTGATCTTGATAAATAAAAATACCACGTATTTGTGACGACACTTTCCCAATAGACTGGAAGAAACGTCAGTCATAAAGCACACAACGGAAAAAACAACAAAAAAATATCATGACCAGACTCAATGTCACCAGTTAATAATTGTCGAAGTAGCCCGGCGCATCCACCATTTCTTCTTTCAGTCCGTTCCAGACCAGTCGAATTTAATAAACATTGATTCGACGAGCAAAAAATGGTCTGAGTTTTTACAATAGCAGAACTCGGACGAATTCATACTTTTTTATGGCACTATAACAATTGAAACCTCCTCAAATCTGAATTTTACATGAAAACACCCGAGTCGGAAAAGTGATAATTCTCGTATTCCTCGTCAAACAAAAATTCAGTCACACTTTTCTCCCAAATAAATCCTCGCAAAAATAAACCAAAAACAACGAAAGCACATCGCAATGCTCCCAATCTCCAGCAATAAAACTCGATACACGAACTTTTCCTCCTAAACTAAAATTAGCATCCCGAAAGTTATCCCGAAGCATTCGGTTCCTCAACTAAAACAATTCAATCGCCGGTACGTGTCTAGCACATCGCATTTAAATACTTTCGAACTCCTCCACCCCACTCGGGCTCTGCCGGTGCATTCCCATCCGAGTTTTGTGTAACTTGTTCAAAACCGAAAGCCCTCCAACCCTCGGCACTCGGCTCCGGCCACCTTTTCTTCGCACACCCCAATCCGATCCCGTCGAAAATCGCTAATTGGCGGCGATTGCAAGCCGATGCAAAAAATAGGGACGGCAGTGACAGTCTGCTGGGGCTTGCGTACTGCGCCCTATCGATTTGCGCCCCGCTTGCAGACTCCTGCCGGTGGAGGCGGTTGTGACCTCGAGCCTCCTGCAGTCGAGATTCGTGCTCTGCCGCCGCCGCCGCCGCCGCGCGACTTGTGTTCGAAAGCACCACTGCCTTCACGTCCACCGCCATCGACCAAGTGGAAATATTCGTACGGGGATCAGATGAACGCGCGATGTGACTGCTTGGAGATTGGGGTTAAAACGGAAGAAATGAGTTTAAGGCGCGATTGAGTGACGATGGAAAGGGGTGAGCGTTTATTTTCTTCATTAAATGTATAGGGTTGGTTGGCGGCGACTTCGAAGACGGGGGATGTTGGATTGGATGCACGAGTTTCAGATTTACGCTTGGGGGGTTGAAGCGATGAATGTTATTTCGCTGTTTAAAGAGCACGTTAACATTAGGTGTTCGAGTTTGGCGGCTCGTGTTTTAAACTGTGGGAAAGTAGTAGCTGGCGGCTGGAGTGTGTTCAACGTTGCGTCTTTGGGGCAACTTTATTTTTACACTATAATGGATGTGAAAAATTAATTAAACTGGTCTAGATGTCGATGTTTTAGCAATTGGTTTCATGTTTTATAATTTATTTACGGTTTGGTCTTGGCGGCACGTTACAGCTGTAAATAGAGTTCTTTAATGATTAATTAATTTAACGTCTAAAATAAGTGTCCGTTGAAATAAATTTGTTATTTAGGTTATTATTCATGTTTCGGACACGACAAATCAGGATTCTATTTGTGTATAGAATTTGTATTATTAATTAATATTGGTGTTCTATTGACTACACATATTTATGTAGATTTAGTCGGGCTAATAATTAATTACTGTTAATTAATTAAAAAGTGATATATTTATTTTAACATTTCTTGCTTTTTGCAATTACACACACAAGTAACACTGTATATATCACCAACATTATCGGTTTATATAAAAATTTAATTTTTGTTGTTCGATTTTGTATAAAATTTGGGTTTTATTCCTTCTCTTTCATAATTCTTTGGTTGCCTTCTAACTGAAGGTTTCGTAATGTAAAATGATAATTTTTGTAATTGCCAGAAATTTAAGTTTTAAAATTTTTTCCCACCTGTTTAATTTCTGTTATTCTTTATCCTCCATTCTATGTTTTACTAAGTTTTTTATTCTAGTCTCGTATTCATACACCGGCTGATTCAAAAATGGCGCACTAACTCTATGACACATTGTTCAGGAGTATTTTCAGTAAAGAAAATATAGTTTAAGAAATCTTTGGGCCTATATGTAGTATTAATAGTATTTAAGTAATCAAAGATTATTTTTTCTTTTAGATTTGGGGATATTTTAATTCACTACTTAGTGTACTGTACATCAAATTGATGGGACTTATTCAATTCACTTATTCAAAATAATTTTGGAAGTATATCATATCTTTTTTTTACATTTTCTTCACGTTATAATATTACAAAAACGTTTAAATTGTGAGAATGTATTTGACAATTAGCCTGTTTTCCCCCTGGCGTTTCTTGATTTTTTCCCAGTATGGTGATAGCAGCACCGTAAAAGATGGGAATGTCGCGTACGATAATGAATAGTTTCGAAATAACATTTTTAAAGTATAATATTTTATTATTATCGTTGTTTGATAAATTTAGTTTTTAATTGTTTTGTCGGTTCCTCAAAAATTCAGAAACATGCTCTTTTGGAGGAATATACTGACCATTGCTCCAGGAGTTCTTGATAGCCGTCTGTCGGTATTATGTTGTCAAATTGTAGCAACCATATTGTTAAAACGTTTATGGTACTTCATATTCATTCCGATAAAATATCTCATTTCCATACATATTCATATCAAAGGAGAAAAACCGTTTAACTACAAAAGTTTCTACTTTGCCATAAATATGAAAAAATTACAATTGCTCCCATTGACGCAGTGGTTTCCGGGTTTATGGCGACAAAATATTTAATGATATCAGATAAATTTCAGGAGTTTACTTCTAACTTTGGTGCAGGGATTTGACTTTAAAATTGGCGTTTCAAAACAAAAGTAAAAGTCGCCACATGGTTTCCTGATGTTACGTAAATTTTGGCGATTCTCAAAAAAAATATTAGAGAAAATTAAAAAACAAATATCAATATTTTTTTGCCCTGCTAACCATTTGTTTTTAATTAAATGTATTTTTTTGGCTGCTTCTCTGGTCTATCGATCTAAAACTCCCTATTTACCGAAATATGAAAATTTTAAACCAACAACGTAGACTCAGTGTCTAAGTCGATTCGAATTCCTATACATAGTTTTTTGGGACAGAAGTATATGTTCAGCTAAGTATCTATGTTCGTTTATCATCTACGTCAAATTTTTATTCAGGAATTCAAATTAGAGAAAGGAGTAATTTTCAGCCTAATATTCTAAAATTTTGACTGAAATAACTCCTGAAATGTTTCAATCTACCTAAAATTAAGTTTCAACCCTAACTTTGCCCGGTTGAGTGCGCTTTTGGAATCGGCTGTTGAAAATTCTCACTATTTTAAACGAAATCCTTCTTCAACCAAAACTCAAAAAACCGAATTGTGATTTTGACGGTCCGCAACTTTTGAATGAACTAAGAGAGCGTATTCCGGCTTTTACCATTCAATTTCCTATAGTTTCCTGGGTATATAAGTATATTTTCATCTATGTCCGTTTAGAATCTACGTACATATTTATGCGTGCCATTTTTGGGAGACTCGAATCTTAAAAAACTAAAAAAATAATAAAAAATTTAAAGCTCTTCTACAAGTTTTTTCGTCCCAGATTCTTATTCGGGAGGTTCGAAATAAGGAAAGGGGTAATTCTCAGACAAATATAGGTGCGTTTAACCGAGATAGCTTTATTTGGCCTAAATTCGAAAATATCGACCGGAATATGTCCGGAAAATTGTCTAAAAACTAAACATGTGTCAATCTGCTTGAAATTAACTTTAGTGACTAATTTTAGTCAACTGAGTGCGTTTTTGGCATTGGTTGTTGAAAATTTTCGCTATTTAAAACGAAATTTTTCTTTAACCAAAACTCAAAAAACGAAATTGTGAGTTTGCCGCTCTATAACTTTTGAATGGACAAAGAAAGCGTATTCCGGCTTTTACCACTTGATTTCTTATAGTTTTCTGAGTCTATAAGTACATTTTCAACTAAATATCTAGGTCCGTTTAGAATCTACGTGCACATGTATTAGACGGTGTCATTTTCGGGAAACTCGAATATTAAAATTTTTTTAAAAATCTGAAGCTGTTTTACAATTTTTTTGGTTTTGAATTCTTATTCGCGAGTTTAAATTTAAGGAAAGGAGTAATTTTGAGACAAATCGAGGTACGATTAACCGAGACAGCTTTATTTGGTCTAAATTCGAAAATATTGACCGGAATATCTCCGGAAAATTGCCCAAAAAATAAACACGTGTTAATCTACCTGACATTGAATATCCTGACTAATTTTTCTCAGCTGAGTACGTTTTTGTTGTAAATTTTCACTATTTTAGACGAAATCCTTCTTTAACCAAACCTCAAAAAAACAAATTGTGAGTTTGACCCTCGATAACTTTTGAACGGACAAAGAGAGCGTATTCTGGCTTTTACCATTCGATTTCCTATAGTTTTCTGGGTCTACTAGTATATTTTCATTTAAATATCTAAGAATCTACGTGCACATGTATCATGTATCGCATGGTGTCATTTTCGGGAGACTCGAATATTAAAAAATTAAAAAAAAAAAAATCAGGAACTTTTTTACAATTTTTATGGTTCTAAATTCTTATTCGGGAGGTACGCTTTAAGAAAAGGAGTAACTTTCAGACAAATTGAGGTACGTGTAACTGAGACAGCTTGATTTGGCCTAAATTCGAAAATTTTGACCGGAATATCTCCGGAACATTGCCCAAAAAATAAACAAGTGTTAATCTATCTGAAATTGAGTTTGGTGACTAATTTTGCCCAGCTGAGTGCGCTTTTGTTGAAAATTTTCACTATTTTAAACGAAATCCTCCTTTAATCAAAACTCAAAAAATAAAATTGTAAGTTTGACGCTCGATAACTTTTGAACCGACAAAGAAAGCGTATTTTGGCTTTTACCATTCGATTTCCTATAGTTTTCTGGGTCTACTAGTATATTTTCATCTAGATGTGTATGTCCGTTTAGAATCTACGTACACATTTATTGGACGGGGTCTCATTTTCGGGAAACTCGAATATTAAAAACACACAAAAAAAAACCGAAGCTGTTTTACATTTTTTTTTTGGTCCCAGATTCTTATTCGGGAGGTTCGAATTAAGGAAAGGGGTAATTTTCAGACAAATCGAGGTACGTTTAACTGAGATAGCTTTATTTGGCCTAAATTCGAAAATATTGACCGGAATATCTCCGGAAAATTATCTAAAAACTAAACATGTGTCAATCTGCTTGAAATTAATTTTAGTGACTAATTTTAGCCAACTGAGTGCGTTTTTGGCATCGGTTGTTGAAAATTTTCGCTATTTTAAACGAAATTTTTCTTTAACCAAAACTCAAAAAACGAAATTGTGAGTTTGACGCTCTATAACTTTTGAATGGACAAAGAGAGCGTATTCCGGCTTTTACCATTCGATTTCTTATAGCTTTCTGGGTCTATAAGTATATTTTCATCTAAATATCTATGTCCGTTTAGAATCTCTACGTGCACATGTATCGGACCGTGTCATTTTCAGGAAACTCGAATATTAAAAAAATTAAAAAAATCAGAAGCTGTTCTATAATTTTTTTGGTTCTAAATTCTTATTCGGGAGTTTAGATTTAAGGAAAGGAGTAATTTTGAGATAAATCGAGGTACGTTTAACCCAGAGCTTTAATTGGCTTAAATTCGAAAATCTCCGGAAAATTGTCCAAAAAATAAACATATCTATCGATCTACCTGAAATTGAGTTTAGTGACTAAATTTGCCCAGCTGAATGCGTTTTTGTGAAAAATTTTCACTATTTTAAACGAAATCCTTCTTTAACCAAAACTCAAAAAACCAAATTGTGAGTTTGACGGTCCATAACTTTTGAACGGACAAAGAGAGCGTATTCCGGCTAGTACCATTCGATTTCCTATAGTTTTCTGGGTATACAGCTGTATTGTTATCCAGGTATCTATGTTCGTTTACTATCTACGTACACATTTATCAGACGGTGTCATTTTCGGATGACTCGATATTAAAAAATAATAAAAAAAAAATCTAAAGCTCTTCTCCAATTTTTTGATCCTAGATTCCTATTCGGGAGGTTGAA